CTGCAGCAGAGACTTCATTTCAAGAGCATCGTGGGTGCTGTCAGGACATATTTTAAAGGGATTGCACTTTGATTAAAAAAATAAATAAAAAGTGCCATAGGGACCTTCTGATCTTCTTGCTTGGAGGACATGCCAGTTAGAACATTTAGCTTGTGTAGCCAAACGGGAAAACTGCTTCTTCCACATAGTATACATTGGCACTGGGCCTATAGGGCATCGGAATGCCTTAATTTCTATCCTTTGCAAGCAGGACAACTTCCTGACAAAACAGCAGGCTAGAGCGACGCTGGAGTTACCACCTGTGTGGCAGAAGCCAGGGCTCTGCTGCTGCTGCTGCAGGTTCCTTTACTCTCAATACACTGCACTGAGGGTGCATCCTAAGTGATATCTCCTAAGCAGGCCAGAGATGTAGCACTGAAAAGCAGAGTTGCGGAGAGAGGGGCTCAGCTACTGCTGTCTTCCCCCTGCTCCATCATCTCATTGTAGATCCATAAAGGAGGGCAAGTTACCAGGCAAGAAAGCAATAGGTCCCACAACAAAGACACCAAGAGAATAGCACAGTGTGAATAACATTCGGGGACAAGGTGAGCACTTTCTAGGAAATATCCCCAAGTGACATTTCCAGACATTCTGCCTTGAGGGCAAAAATCTAGGTATGAAAAAATGGGGTAAATTTGGAGCACATTTTGGACTGAGTAGTGCTAAGTCACTTTGATGTGTTGGCTGTGAATTCTGCATTACTCATGAGTATGGGATTTTGTTAATTATTTCAGCAAGACTTTTGAAAAAATAATTTCCTAGACATTTTGTTAGAAGCGTTTGGGGAAAAAAAAAAAAAAAAAGCTTATTGTCCTTTAACAAAAATGAGAAGTTAGGACTCCTACTTATGCAAATGATGAGAATCTAAAAGCCTGAAATCTTGTCAAATTTAGGTACCAGCTGGAGGCAATACTGTGAGAGGCTCCTTGTCTCTGACTCAGATGCTTCGGTGGGATTGGGTTCAAGTTCTGAGGAATTCCAAAGCAGAAAACATGAGTCATACACTTGAATCTTGCAGAAAATCATAATTCAAACAATTAAAAAATCTCTCATTAGTTTTATATATATATAGTTTGAGGAAATACAGACTTAAAGATGAGAAAAGCACAAAAACAAGCCATGAAATATTCAGCATTAAAAATAGAATATTACAACTTGCAAAACTTAAACATAAAAGACTGAAAGTGTCCAGTAAGAGCCAGGTATTATTTAATTTTACCTTTTTTTTTTTCCCCCAGTGTGCTTTTATATATTTCTTAATTGATCTTATGGACATATTTCTGCCCATTTTAGCCCCAGGAGTGCTTCAGTTTCCTTTGCTACTGCTGTTAAAGGTGTGCAAAAAATATAACCATATTTTGACTGGCTCATTGGAGCATTTAATATTCTCACAGCAATTCCAAGTGTGGCTTAGCTGAAACTCATCATGCAAAAGAAAAGAGATCCTCCTCTTAAGTAAAAAATAAGAGCAGTTATATTGCATCTCTCTATCCTGCAATTCATCAGTTGTGGAAACCAAAATATCAAGTGATCCTTTGTGTCCCTTTAGCAGTCTTGGATGAATATCATCTGGTCCTGGTGACTTGTTAGTATTTTTAACCGTGTTTACAAATATAAACAATATAAACAACCTCTGCTCATACATCAGTTAAAATGGACCTTCAAATTCCTTTTCCATAAAGAAGAGCAGTAGTCTGGAAAAGTCCATGAACTTATCCAAACTGGACACCAATATAAAGAGGTGTCCTGACTTTCTGTGCTATGGTAGAATCTTCCTTGTACATGTCTGTGGTTTGGCATCTTTTAAAGCAATAACAGCAACAAACAAAAGAAGTCTTTCCACCTTTCTTCTTTGAGCTTTGGAAAATTCTTAATTCTCTCTTGAATACAGTGCAATAGGTCATGCTAATGCCTTCTTAGGCACCCCATAAGTACCATTTCCATCTCTCATAAAATGTGCTTTGCTTGGTTGTTCAACAGTGTCTGAATGCCAAATGGCAGTGAAAAAGTCATGAGCTTTGTACCAAGCTTCTCTGCAAACTTGCTTCTTGCAGTGTCTTCCCATGTGGCTCTCTCTATTACTATCATTAGTTATATATTTATGTCCACCTTTGGTTGTATATGTAAATACAAAACATGAAGCAACAAGAAAGGTCACTGACATCAACTTCTAAGTAATACATGCAAATTTAAGAAGTCCTCAGTTAATTTTTTCAAAAACTTTGAAAAAAAATCACTTCATACTTACAACACAGTATGTTGTCATCTAAGCTAAACAGTTCTCAACCATTCTGTCCATGTAAATCAGGAATTCATTTATTTGGAGGAAGACAAAGGGAAGGCAGCAGTAGCAGCAGCATCTGTCCACTACAGCCCTGCCTCTTCCACCTGAAGAATCGTTTCTCTGCTCCTCCCAATGCTCCTGTGGGGTCAAATGCCCCAGCTTCTGTCAGTCCAGGCAGCCTCTGCTTTCCAGGGCTACAACTCTGTCCTCCTGCAGAGGCAACACTGGTGTTAACAGCTTTGCAGACCCTCTATAAGCAGTATAGGGTGCTGGAAGCCAGAAAAAGTAAGGACAAGAACAGCAACAAATATTTAGTGCTTATATGCATCTAATCTTTAAGCTTTCTGCAAGTACACAAAAAAAGAAGACAAACCACAGCACAAGAAAATTAAGTATGTGCCAAAATTGTGAGCATTTGAACAGCAGCAATGATTTAAAGTTGATTTCTGGACTACTTAAAGCTATGTGTGTGCCCAGGATTCAAATTCACTGGATTTCTACCCTGCCAGATCTCTTGTGGTGAGTACATGTATGTCTGCATCTTCACAAGAACCTATACACGCTACAGAAAATAGATTTATACCTAAGAAATACATGAATTGGTAGGAGAATGTTATAGCACAAAATAATTCCTGAAACCAGGTAACATTTCAGAGTATTCTTTGTAATGTAAAAGTAGATGAACATATGGGAATACTTGATTCATGCATCTTTTCTCAATTTTAAAGGCAAGCTTGTAGTTCAAAAATATTTTTGTGTGTGTCTGCATATGGGAATATGAATAAAATTACCTCAAGCCACAAC